AATCTTTCCTGCCTCTACTCTACACAGACGCCGTCTTGTTGAATCGGCTCTAATACACAACGTACCCAATATGAACTTGAGTCCTGGCTTTGTTGCTGTTGACTCTTCCCTTTCACAGTATATACTCAAATGCTCTAATCTTTCTAACAAACGTGACCTAACATAAGCTTACCCTTCCATTTATCTTTCTTTCTCTTTCCTTTTCTTTTTCTGTTCATTGTTTTCTCTTACGTTCCCCTGCTATCCTCTTCTTATTCCTATTACTATCCCCTTCTCATTCGTTAGTTAAATAGGAGCTGCCTCGTATGGGTCAATGTTCCTTCTGCAGTTCTTATTCCTACTACTATCCCCTCTACTACACCTTACCTTTCGTACCTTTTGCCTTGCTCCTCACCTCTCTCTTGCCTATTTATTGCCTTCAATCATCTTCCCTCATCACAATCGACTTGAGAATGGTCCAGGATGGACCGAAACGTCGTCGTCCCTTCACCTTCTAGTGTGTGGTCTGGTCAATATACTTCAGCCACGTTATTGTGACTCATCACCTGCATCCAGAGGGTACAAGTCCAGAAGGAACCGGAGGTCTGCGCAGTCCCATTTCTAGACCGGAAATAGGTGGGAACCCACCTGAGAGACGAGGTCAATGTGACCATGCCCAAGCGAATCCAAGCCAAGATGACTCAACAGATCGCAGGATCGGTGCTGCCCCGCCAGTATTGAACCCCCCCCCCCAAAGGAGGAAAAGCCACTCAACGCCACTGCATGCTGCACGAAATGACCTGAAGAGCCCAAAATTGCGGGACCAGGCGTGAGGAAACAGAACGAGCCTCCCTCCCATCGTCCTCTCAATGGGACGAACTGCAAAAGGGCCGACACACCAGACGAAAACCTAAGCGGCGCACAGGACGATACCCGTGCCAACCAGAAAAGACGGAACCGAAGCCTGCGCCTGCCCCAAATCTGGTACCACTGGCCTACCACAATGGGAAGAATCTCGAGTCCTGGCATGACCCATCCGGGAAGGCCCCCCATGAGCCCCCAGGAAGACCAACAAGTCCGACAGGACAGCAATTAACCGAAGCTGCCTGTGAAGACTGCACTACCACAAACTCTGCAAACAGCAACGGACAAAAGGGTTTAGACAACCTAAGAGCCAGGGCCCAAGTGGATTCCAAGGAAGAAGCAAGCACCTCCTGCCGACACACGAGGAGAGAAGCAAAAAACCACGAAACCGAATCCCGCAGGAGCGGAGTGAACAGTTACAACAATATAGACTATGCACACACCACTGAGGGCAACGCACCAGACCCAGAGGTACTCCAAGCACCTCCACACCCAATGCAAGCCAACCCAAGGACAGCTTGAGGAGAGGGAGAAGAAACGCAGGGCCGAAGCCAGCAGGCCACGTGTATGCAAATCTTCCGTGATCAAGGCAGCTGAAAGGGAAGGAATCAGCCCATGAAGTTACATCACACCAACATCCCGCGGAAGGCAGGGGTGAACAATCAAGCAAGTAGACACTCAAAGTCATCCCCCCTCCCAGGACACTCAGGCACACAGACCGACTGGACGGGTGCCAAGCCTCCAACGAGAAGAACTGGCAATATGCTAACCAGGACGACTCCAGAACTTCATAATGAACCTAGTACGGACATGAAGATCCTTTGAAGGACCACAGACCCATCATAAAGGTACAACCCGGGTTGCACAGGTAATCCATAAGGAATACAGTACAGTACCTGCACCAAATGAGAAGGGATGCGGGAAGCCGAAAATCTCCGGAAGGACGAACCACGGAACCCATGGGAACACGGAACAGAAGCCGGGGAGGGGTAGACACTAAATCCAATTCGTACAAGGAGGGAGCGAAAGAGTACCCCTTTCTGTGTAACACCAAGCCCTGCTCCGAGGGTACAAAAACCCAGGCAGGGTCCATCGGGGTCCAAGGGCCCCCAAATCAACCCCTCCCCTGCCCTAGGAACCTCACTCCAAGGACCCAGAGCCAGGCAGGAGGAACAGGGTCAAATGCTTCTGCCGCGACCCCGGAAGGGGACACCCCCCTGAAACCGCCCAAGTTTCATCACCAACTAGACCCCGCCCCGCCTCCGAACCCGCTAATGAATTGGAGCCAGAAGCCAGGGAGGGGGGAGGGGGGACTGGACACACAACAGAAGGGGTTAGGAAGGGTGGAAGGTACCAAGGTGAAGCGACTCCTGAAAACAAAAACAAAACGGGGCAGTCTCAGGGCATCCGGGGAAGTGACCAATCCATTGCATTGCAGCAACAGAACCTAGCACGCAACACAGCTGCTGCCTGCACCCTCAGATCATGATTAATAGCGAGGATGAACTGGAGCACGTACCAACAACAACGTCACCACGACTCTCGGCTAAAAGAACCACCGACCCTACAGGCAGCATGGGGGAGGCAAAACCTGTGAATGTCACCCTCAGACAAAGGAGATAGAGCAGCCACATGTGATGATAGTCACATCCATCGGACCACAGAGCCCCTGCGGGGTTTCCCGGGGCCCTTAGCCTTGGTAACACGCTAAGGGAAGCCCAGGCAGGGTATTGCGAACCGGCGCCCAAAAGTACCAAACAAACTTCTAAAAGCTGAACCCCTGGGACATGTCCACTCACGGGGGGCCTAGAAGGGGGTACTATCAAGAATACAGAATTGTCTATCTAAGAACACACAAAGATAGAGAGGGGGGCAACCAATCAAAGGCAGACCCCCACCAGGCAGGAAAACAAAGACAAAAGAAAAACCTCACTGGAGGACAATATACCCAGGCAGAACAGTCAGATGCTATAAGAGGTGATAACTAGCTGTGCAGTACCCCGCGCTCCTACCAGTGACGAAAACTACCTCCTATCCAGAGGCAAACAAGGCAACAGAAACCCCAGCTAACTCCAAGGGCAGTCAAATACCAAGCAGTAAAAGACACAGCGGAGGTAGATCTCAAGGAGGTAGTCCCAAGCCCCCCAAGAGCAGTACACTACTTACAGGGCACCTAGGGAAAGAAACCCTAGGTGCATGCAGCCCGCATACTGTAGAATATTACTCCTGGTTCACACACCACCTGTACAAACAGCCCATGCCATAAGGCACAGAAACTGAAACCAAAGCAGGAGCCAGAGGCACCTGACCTACCAGTATCACAGCAGCCAAAAACTGCCGGCCCTCCCTGGAAGGGGGGAAGGGTGTGCAGACAGCGACGCGGCGATGAGATGATGTCATGTTAGTTTGCTAGTTTTCATTTGGGGAGTTTTGTTAACTCATTTGGCTTTCGGTAACAATATTTTCACCAGAATAAGGGGTTTGATTTGGGGCACCTAGGTGCCAGACCCGGTCAATGGCAGACATAGAATGCTTCTAATCATACGGGGGTTTCTATAGGCCATTGCTCCTCATGCCTCTCTGAGGGGGGCCAGGTTCTGACTCGTTGTCCTCAGTAGGCAAGAACTCCATGCATTTTGATGCCAGAAAGCTAATAGTTACATATCAGCCTGGATAATTCCGGGGAGCAAACGGGGCTTCCCTCAGAAAAGAGGCGTTGACAGAGCAAGTGCCGGAGGAGGTCTGCTCCACCCGAGCTGTCATGCGGGAGTTGCCACAAAGATATTATTACTTAATTATTCAATGTCTCTGATTGATTTTTTCTTAGTTGTTTTGCAGTAATATTATTAAATGTTGTGTAGTGTGATACATTTATATAATAAAATGTGTGAACCAACTGTACAACTAAGCTGGTATGGTGAGTCAGACAATAACTGAGGTCGCCACACAGTCAGCTGATGCTCCCTCCATCACTCGCCAACATTCCTAATCCCACTATACTGTTTGTGCTGTTTTTACACTATATACACATACATTATATACAAGTATCTACACATTTTATTCATCATAACTGTACAACTAAGCTGGTATAGTGAGTTCAGACAATAACAGAGGTCACCACACAGTCAGCTGATGCTTCCCTCCGTACAGTGGCACCTCGACTTACGATTGCCCCTACTTACGATAATTTCGAGTTACGATGTAAATTTCATCGAAAAATGCGACTCGACATCCGATGGTGTCGTCGACTTACGATATTTGTTGGTACACATTCGGGTCGACCGAGCGCGTGGTTCCCGGTCACGCGGCCGACCTGCCTCAGTTTACTACAGCTGCCCGCTTAGTGACGATCGCGCCTATAAGAAATTTCGCTTTTGTGGTGATTTTTTGCATTTTGAACATTAAAGTAATTATTATATATCACGCCATGAGTCCCAGGAAAGTCAGTGGTAAGGCTCAACATATGAGATCCCATGTAAGGATGACCATAGAGCAGAAACAAGAGATCATTCGTAAATATGAAGATGGTGTGCGGGTTGTTGGACTGGCTAGGCAGTACAACAAATCTCAGTCAACGATATCCACCATACTGGCTAAGAAAAAGGACATTATGGGTGCTAAAGTGATGCATCATTACAGACAAATGTTAAAACGAAGGGAAAAACAAATGTCTCTTGACAAATTTGTAGTGAGACAAACAAGCACTGAACCACAACCAGGTCCTAGTGGTATTCAGGCAAAACGTAGGAGAGAGAGTACCCCAGAGAAAACATCACTGCCTGATGTGATAATGGAAGGGGACTCCCCTTCCAAACAGTAACAACTCTCCTTCCCCCCCCTCATCACCATCTTCCATATGCCATCAAGAGCCCTCCATAAAGGTAAGATAAACTTAGGTACTGTATTGTAGTTAGAAAAAAACATTGTATTCAGTATAAAATGTATTTGTATGTTAATATTTTGGAGGGTGGGGAACGGATTAATTCAAATCCCTTTATTTCTTATGGGAAAAATCGCTTCGACTTACGATATTTTGAGGCGACTTACGATCCGTCTCTGGGAACGGATTAGCATCGTAAGTCGAGGCCCCATTGTATCTAAATCATTTAAATAGGTGGCATTTGCAAAATTTTCACAGTTGACTAATGGTGCCTTACCTCCTTGCACAACAAATTGAATATCCCCATGATACTGGAGAGGCATTATTAAAAGGGACCTCACCTATCCCCACTCCTTCACTGCAAAGTTCCTCCCTTGGAATTTGGATGTGTACCATGCAAACATATCGTACAACATCAGGCACTTCAACTTCTTTTTCCCTCTCCATCTAAAAAAAAAAAAATAAAGAAAAGAAAATACCTTTCAAATACAATAATAAACAAAAAAACAGCATTGGATGTAATGAAACGCCATTTTCTGGGCAAGTCCCGGAGGCTCCCCAGAGCTATCCAGGCTGATATGCTAATGTCCGACTTTGGCATCAGTCGATGTGGGTGGAGTTATAGGCCTACCGGGGACCACGAGCCAAAACCTGGCCCCCCTCAGAGAGGCACGAGAAGCAATGGCCTATAGAAATGCACATGTGATTTGGAGCATTCTATATCCGCTATCAACTGGGACAGGCACCCAGAAAGGTAAGAACCCCACAGGTCCACACAGTCCCGTTTCGGAACTGGAAAGAGGTGGATACCCACCTGAGAGACGTCATCGTTTCGACCATGTCTAAGCACACCCACTACAAGACGACCTGACAGAGCGTAGAAGAGGCCTGCCCTGCCAGCCCCGAACCCCCCGAAGGAGAAGCCACCCAACGCCACCGCAGGCTGCGAGAAACGGCCTGAAAAGCCCACGAATCGTGGGACCAGGCGTCAGTGAACAGAGCAAGCCTCCCCCTCCCCCATCGGCCCATCAATGGGACGAAATGCATAAGGGCCTATGCCCCTTATGAGAACCCGATCTGTGCACAGAGTGAGCACCGCACCGACCAGGCGCAGCCAGGACCAAAGGCGGCACCGGCTCCGAAACTGGCACCTGTGGCCCACCTCAACGAGCGGAACCATGGGCCCTGGCATAACCCCTCCGAGATGAACCCAACCAGGACCCCCCGGACCACACATAATAATATACAATTAACTCATGTATATATGAGTAACCTGGCTCCTAGCCTAACCCTACCATACTGGCAGTAATAATAATAAAAACAATGCTCCTGACATGAATGATACTCTAGCTCATCTAAACCAAGGGGTAATGGGGAGGGAATTTATCTACCTTAACTCTTTCTGCTACAAAGTCGACATATCCTCTGGTGAGGGTTGCCGAGGTCCTTGGTCCTGGCATTCGATCCTCCGTTGGTCAGGATCTTGTACACACACGGTCCTCGGTTGACTCGTAGATGCGTGTCCTCGCCGTTCTCACACTCTGCAGGCAGGCCCTCCTCCTGAGGTCTTGGAGACGGGTCCCTGTGCACGTCGTCGTCTTCCTCCCACACTGGGACTGTAGTCAAACTTGCAGTCTGGTTCAGTGTCCCCTTCTCAGTCTTCCTGTGGACTTGCCCCAGGCACAGCAACTCGCCTGGTGCGTTTGAACGTGGCCTGCGGGAACCGTCCTCACGATCCCGCCCAGCGTTAATCCCAACCACAGACTATCAGCAAAAGAGCTCTTGGCACTCTGACGTCAGCCAAGCCTTGTTTCTATGTAATCCCTATGAGTCGAGTAAGGTCACATGACATCTGCAATATCAATGTGGCTGCTTGGGTCCACAGGTTGGGGGTTTCTAGCCTCCAAAGTCAGAGCTCATTCGACCGCGTCTGCTCTCAAAGGCGGGCCGTGACACACTGAGCCCGCAGGGGCTCCCGCCGCCCAGAGCCCTCTGCCTTGTGACGTCACACCGCCTGAGGGCTCCTTGTCATTGATCCACGATGTCACGTGACCCTACCTGGCCAATCAACAGCCGGCAGGTGTCACGCTCCTTTGGCGGGAAACAGAATGCCTCGGCGCCATCTTGTAACTCAAAAGGGCGTAAACCACGTGTATAATCAAACTAAAATGGCAAATTCATTGCTACATCATAATGTTCCATACCCTCATATACACCAAAATGTTCCCTGAACATCAGAGAAAGTTCAGGTTGTAGAGATATGACGCTTGAAGCTGGAACGGGAAAGATATAGGAAGTGGGTCACCGTCACAGATGGCAGACATACTGCTTCCAACTACATGGGTGTGTCTATAGGTCATTGCTCCTTGTGCCTCTCTGAAGGGGCCAGGTTCTGGCGTTGGTCCCTGGTAAGCCTAAAACTCCTTCGACTGACTGTTGCTACAGTAATATATACACATCAGCCCAGTAAAGCTACAGGACGCCGGAGGGGCTCTCCACAGAAAAGGGTAACACAATTACATATATCACTGTAAAATATATAAACATATAAATATATGAATTTCTCCAATAACAGATCAACTGGTCTACATGTGTTGGCTCTCAAAAAGTTTCACATTCCTTAGCAAGTAAATGACTGATAAATACTTACATATATAACTTTTGATATCCAACAATTAAATCCAAGATAATAAGTGAGCAAGTCTTGGGCCTTGTAGGGAGGGAGTAGAATTCTCTTTTGCAGTCTGACAGTTCCCTTTCTTTTTATTCTAATTTCACTGCCTCCAATTTTAATTTTGCCATCAAATTGAAGAGCCCTTTCAAAATCCCATGTGGAGTAGAATGAAACATATGCAAACCATATGTTTTCACTGAAATATATGTTTTTTAATCAAATTTATTTCCTATGTAATATATATAGTACAGTGGCTACCAATACTGCAAAATAAAAATAATGTACTGGTACATCAGAATATCAACACACTAAGTGCCATACTATATTTTAAACCTTGAAGTCTGGTTATCGTCATTTGGTGATTTTAACTATTACTGTTTGATTTTTACACCAATGATGTAGTGGATGTTGTGGAGTTTACCTAAACACCCATGAAAAATTCCTGCCACCATTTCCTGGTTGCTTATTATGCAAGTTTGCCTATTGTTGCAAATGTTACACTGCTAATGTGGTAAATGTCATGATATAAAACCTGTGTTGAATGCAATGAAGTGCCATTTTCTGGGCGAGCCCTGGAGGCTCCCTGGAGCTATCGGACTGATATGCGATATACAGTATTAGTCTAGGGCATTAATCAATGGAGTTCAGCTTACCAGGGACCACAAGCCAGACCCTGGCCCCCCTCAGAGAGGCAAGAGAGCAATAGCCTCTGGAAACCATTGAAGAAGAGATAAGAAGAAAGACTTCACTAGATTAACTTTAATAAAACAACCAGCAGTGAATATAATGAAAAGCAAGTTTCTGGGCGAGACCCGGAGGCAAGTGAACTTACACACAAAATAAGTCCGTTGTGTGTAAATGAGGGCCATCCCAGCGTAGGTCCACATCCCGTTACCACCGTGTGTGTGTGTGCTTACTAGTACTGTTTCCAACAAGTGTAATGTATCCAGGTTACTAGTGCCATGATACAGAAACTAGATGCCTCCACTGTAAGATAACCAGTGGGAAAATGCAAACAATGTACTCTTAACACGTGAACAAAACAAATTAAGAACAAACAAATTAAGAGTGCGACACGAGGTGGCAACACAGCCTGTTCATACAGCCTCCTACCGGCTGGTCTCTCCCCACCCCCACACTGGTCAACACCCACCAGACACCACCCACCGGTCCACTACTTTAACACCATCACTGAACAGAAGTATTCAGTAAAAATGTCTTTGGGGAAATTGTGCACAGAATGCCACAAGGAGGTAGATCACCAGCAAAGCTTTCAATGTCAACTCTGCCCAGCAGTCATACACAGTAAATGTACCAATATGACTAATAATGGAAGGAAAAATGGTTTCAGAGAAAACACTGCATACTGGCTCTGCTCAAAGGATAATATTAGTTTCTTGAAGATGTGGGCAATTCTGGATAAAATTCCTGCGCAGAACATAGAATCGCTAATAAATGCCTGCATAGATATTTCAAATGTCTTCAAACAAATTGTCTATAACACCCAGCTACAATCAGATGAAGCACAGAGCGCAGATTCGGTGTCGCCACAGCAAAGCGCAGTGCCCCAGCAGAGTGCTGTGTCGGGGGCGGCGCCACAGCAGTGCCGTGTCGGGGGTGACGCCACAGCAGGGTGCTGTGTTGAGGGGCGGCGCCACAGCAGTGCCGTGTCGGGGGTGACGCCACAGCAGGGTGCTGTGTTGAGGGGCGGCACCAGAGTAGGGTGCTGTTTCAAGGGCAGTGCCACAGCAGAGTGCTGTGTCGGGGGCGGCGCCACAACAGTGCTATGTCGGGGGCAGCGCCACAACAGAGTGCTGTGTCGGGGGCAGCGCCACAACAGAGTGCTGTGTCGGGGGCGGCGCCACAACAGAGTGCTGTGTCGAGGGCGGCGCCACAACAGTGTGCTGTGTCGGGGGCGGCGCCACAACAGTGTGCTGTGTCGGGGGCGGCGCCACAACAGAGTGCTGTGTCTGTAGCGAAACCACAACAGAGTGCTGTGTCGGGGGCGGCGCCACAACAGAGTGCTGTGTCTGTGGCGGCACCACAACAGAGTGCTGTGTCGGGGGCAGTGCCACAACAGTGCTGTGTCGGGGGCGGTGCCACAATAGAGTGCTGTGTCGGGGGCGGTGTCGGTGGCAGTCCCACAGCAGAGTGTGGTCTCTGGCAAAGGAAAACAAACAAAACAAGGGCCCGAAACCTGTCATTATTATAAATGGAGTACGCGTAAGCATGGAATTATCTGCTGACTCTGTGTGACCACCTTTTACTGTCGGGACTCACTATACCAGCTTAGTGGTTCGCTGTGGTGAACAAAACATGCAGATACTTATATATAACGTCTGTATATAGTGAATAAAAGCACAAAACAGTATGGTCAAAAGTGAATGTTGGCGAGTCAGGTGAGGTGAGTGGGGGAGTGGCAGCCAGTGGCAGGCTAGCTGGTGTGTGGTGGTCACTCCTTGCTGCTGTTTGACTCGGCATACCAACTTAGTGGTTCTTTATGGTGAACACAAATGTAGATACTTATATATAATGTGTGTATAAAGGGTAATAACACCACAAACAGTATTATTTTATTATACGAATTTGTATGTCCATTTTATTCATGTTTTGCTTTCTTTAACGTAATTAAAATTTCATTGTTAAAATTTACTTGTGTTTTGTGTGTCTTCTCCTTACCTTACCACAGACGAAGTTCCAGAATTTCTATTTTTTTTTCTATATGTGACGAGGCCATACCCCTAGCTTTTGAACAGCTGAACACCAATGCGTTACCGTCACACTATGATGAACACAAATGTAGATACTTATATATATAAAGTGTGTATATAGTGAATAAGAGCAAAAACAGTATTGTGGGAGGAGGAACTTGGCGAGTGAGGAGTTTATGAGGGAGGGAGTAGTGGGGAGTGGCTGGCTGGCAGATGTAGTCACTCATCGTTGCTTTTTGACTCACATTATCAACTTAGTGGTTCATTATGGTGAACAAAATATGCAGATACTTATATACAACCTGTGTATATACAGTAGTGTAATAACAAAGTATTTGTTCACTTTTCTATGAACATAATAATTGAATCAATAATATGCACACAATAATTTTGAGTACAGCGATGATTCACACATTTTATTATATAAATATATCACACTACACACTACTGAATAATATTACAGCAAAAAACTAAGAAGAAATCAGAGACATTGAAATAATTAGGTAATATCATCTTTGTGGCAACCCCCCCGTCTGACAGCTGGGGCGAAGCAGAACTTCCCTGACGCTTGCTGAGTCAGTGCCTCTTTTTTTGCCAGACTTTCCTGACCTATTGCGGCCAAAATATGTCACTTACGATTTTTTATTATTTTTCCCGTGATCAGGGAACACAAATTAATAGGTTAAGAAAAAAAATTATTTTTTTTTATGCACCTGTGGGTGACAAAGGCCAAATAGCCCTTAGCAACACAAGGGTTAATGGAGATAAGTTCCAGCTCATGTGTTGAGGAAAAAATGCAAATATAAAAACGGAAACCACATACAAAACTCAGTCAAATCATAACATAGAACAAAAAGACAATGTAAAGGATTTTGGGTGTACTCATGTTGGAAGACCGCACCTTCAAAGAACACAATTTGGACTGAAATTCTTTGTGCTCTGTGACTGTGAATCAGGAATGGTGTTACACATGATACTGTATTCCGCCACAAATGTAGATATTCCTGCTAATGACGAACATGGCTTCTCAGGTATTGTGGTGAAGGCACTGCTTGCACCATATCTGAACAAGGGCCACATATTGTACACAGATAACTATTATACCAGTCCCTTACTAACGAAATTCTTGCTTGATAATAAGACTGGAGTGTGTGGCACAGTAAAGCCAAAACGAAGGGAAATGCCTGTGTTTGACACTGCTATGCAAGTAAGTGATTGCGAGGTAAGAAAAAGTGGTGCAATGCTTTCAGTGCGGTGGAAAGACAGACATGAAGAACATGTTGACCACCATTCACCCTGGTACAATGGTGGACAGTGGCAAGGTGAACAGAACAACAAAGCAAATAATATATAAGCCAGATTGTGTGATGGACTACAACATCAACATGCATTTAGTTGATAAATGTGACATGATGGTGGGTGCTGTAGAGTGTGTACAGAAAACAGTGAAGTGGACGAAGAAAATGATTTTCCACCTTATTGACGTAACAATGCTGAACAGTTACAACATGTATCTTGTGAAAACAGGTAGAAAACCATATTTCTGTTCGTTTAGTTTTCAAGTTGTGAAACAGTTACTAGGTAAATTTGGCAAGGACACACCTGGAATACAAAGACGCATTTGAGACCCAATATTGAACCATGCTCCTGCACCCAGGCTCGCTTACAGGGAGGCCTTTCTGATATACCAAATAAAGAAATTACCACCAACTGGATTTTGTGCAGCAGGCCAGCGTCGGTGTGTTGTGTGTTCCAATACCAAGTTGAAGCCACAGAAACGTAAATTGGTGTTAACATGGTGCGAAGCGTGTGCAGTCCCTCTGTGCCATATCTACTGTTTCGCACAGTATCAGTCTCCAGGACTACTAAATGTGTAAATCTTTTGTAAATAAATGTACATATCAAGTTAATTTTAGTGTTTATATTGAAAAAAAAAACAAATACATTGAATATTTCCTGTAAATTATACCATTTTGGTGGGCATACTTGTGACACTAATATGTGAGCGCCTAGTGAGTTTATACCAGTTTTATTATAATACAACGTCTAGTGGTAATAACTGGAACAATACTTGCAAAAAAAATTTGTGTAAAATGACCCAAGAATACTGTATATAATTCTGCGAAAATTAATTCGCAGCAACTCGGGCCTCCTGAGCGGCCGTAAGTGTCTGACACAGCACCCTTGAGCGCTCATGCTCTGTGACGTCATCAGCCAACTTGTCGGCTCAATTGTGTCATTGGTATGCACAATAAAATTTTTAATTATTTTTCCCATGCTCAGGGGACACAAATTAACATGTTTAGAAGACGAAAAAAAAATTAAATTTTTTTTTCTTGCGCACAGGGGTGTAAATGTCCTCAGGACCCCTGAGCAGTGGAAGGGTTAAGCAAGGTAAGCCTTGAACAAATCCACAAGAGCTGTGACGAGGATTCGAACCTACGTCCGAGAGCATCCCAGACACTGCCTTAATCGACTGAGCTATGACATGGTATAAGATTTGCAACCAGAAATTCTACTGAATTTATTTGGATCCTGCAGCCTCTCCGGGACACAAACCGTAATGAAGTAAGGGCGAAGAGGTAGAACGGCCAATTGACATAGCTCGAGTGCATGGGGGAATTGTATAAAATCCTGGTTTGTGTCTCGGAGAGGCTGCAGGATCCAAATAAATTCAGTAGAATTTCTGGTTGCAAATCTTATACCATGTCATAGCTCAGTCGATTAAGGCAGCGTCTGGGATGCTCTCGGACGTAGGTTCGAATCCTCGTCACGGCTCTTGTGGATTTGTTCATTTGATGCATCATGCTATTGTGATTTCTGTGTGTAAGGTAAGCCTTCTTTCTTTACAACTACTAGTATTATAACAACATTATTAAGCAAGGTAAGAATTTCTTTCTTTACAACTAATATAACAACATTGTTTAGCAAATTAAGTCTTTCTAAGCAAGGTAAGTTTTATGAATATGATGTGATATATCTGCTCATAACCCCAAGCCCCCCACAATACACACTGGCATCAATCACTCAAATATTCAATTCATAAATTGGGAACCAATGCAAGTTAAGATCTGATAAGATTTAGTAACACGACATGTCACAATGCATTGGTGGTATTTTAAAATTGAATTGGAGAAACAGTACAGAGTTAGATTAGGTGGCCAGATGCAAGTATTTGGAAATTTGTGACTGCTCTTTTGCTGTATCATTTGTTACCAACTGTTTCAGTATCGACACCGTCGCTGGAGTATGGAGTGGCGATCTCAGTGCCATCTATGGGTTTGCACTCCAACTCCCCGGTATTTGGTGCACCTCAGACAACGCCATCAGTTGATAGTGGCGTGGCAACAGTGAAAGGCTCTGGTTTCCTGCCTCAGAAAGTTAGGTTGATGAAGACCTCTGGTGGGTGGCGTATCGAGATCAACGCCATCTAGGTTGTGGCTACAATTTACAATGTCAATTCCCCAGTGAAAGGGTGTTATCCTAGGATTACCTAGTATACTGTCTGTCTAGCTAATGATGTTTTATTTTCACAGAGGTGAAGTAAGCAGGCAATTGCATCAAGGAGGGTAGTTCACCTTGGGCAATCCAAGAACTCATGACTTGGTCCTGTGAGAGGGCAAAGTGACTGCCGTCGGTTATAGCAGTGTGTTACCTGCTGGTTTATGCAGTGTTGGAGGAGCCGACGTACCCGGGATTGGCCAGGAAGAGTTACATGACGACGACAGTGGTGCGTCTGTTGAGAAGTGCTGCTAGCGAGCTGCTAGAGACTTCTGGCAGGGTGTTAGCTACCCCTGTATGTGACTGTTTGAAACCTTTGTCAGCATGTTGCTGAAACTCTCTGCCAGTGCGTATCTGGAGAGCGGAGGTGGGGGTATTGACTCATCGTGAAGATACGGTGTGTGTGGACTGGCCCATGTTGAAGAAGGTGAACTTGCCATTATTTGCCATTAGGTGTGGAAGACGTGTACCTGGAAAGTGGATTCACCATGATTGATGAACACTGCTGATGTATTGTGTCCTGAGTGAAAGAGACACTTTGTAAATACGTGTAGTAATACTTTAATATAATATGTATAGTGGTGAAGGTGTTAATATATTGGTGAAGGTGTAATTGTGTATTGTTTATCCCACCTTTTATTCTTTGCACTAATACCTGCCGGCTAGTTTTTGAAAGCTTACCACCGACTTGGGGTTGCTTACAGAAGAGGAGGTTATAACAGCATGAACCCGGTTACTGGCCCAAAGTGGCCGTAACCCCAACAAAACATCTTTATCGAACCTGTGTCATTTTACAATTTAAGGAATGTAATTACAGTAATCTTAAAAGGGAACCCAGATTAAATAAGACAGAGATTAAATTCGACAATAAAAATAATTCTTATGGGTTTTAGAAAGAAGCATGTTCTACCCATTTCATATTGAAATCCCTTCATGTCTTAACATGCTATTGGAGTACTGATGCTGTATATTTAGGAAGGTCCTGGTTTACCATTTCATTCTATCCAATAGAGCAGGAGCTATAGGTTTTTTTTTAGACACTGGTAACAAGACACGAGCAACCAACCAAATAGTCAAATTGCTTCTAAACCACACTGCATAATAACTTTTAATTTTTTGCAAATTGGCTTTTAAATTATTCTCATTAACCTATTATATGAAAGATCATGACAGTTTGAAAGTGTATTTTTGGCAAAAACATATACATGTTCAAAATACTTACGTTTCTTCTATATTTGTAAATCTGCTTTTGTAAACAGATATTCGGTGTATGAGACCAAATTGAACAAATTTTGCCTCCAGTTCATGCTGTTAGATGTAGCAGGAACAGAAAAATATGTGAATTAATATTAATGTATAAAGAACCATAAACTGCATATACAGTATTTTGTAATCATGGAATTGCAAAAATTGTATTATCAAATACTGTAAGAATGCAATATTCATTTAAAACAGGGTTAAGTAAGATAGAAATATAAAGCTGTTAGATATGGGCAACCTCTAAGTGCTCCTGAGTGCTTTCCCACTTTATCCATGGTAAATAAAGCTGATGACCTTCATCTTCTGGGCTTTCAACGTGTATCACCTCAACATCCTGAAAATTGTAAATTTGCAATTACACTTTACAGCTCCCAGTAATCACAGAGTTCCCTGGATATGCAGTTATAAATCTTTCAAGATATAAATCTTATAATATATAAGATATAAATATTATTTTTTAAATAAATGTAAAACCCTGAGCTTTTACAGTACAGTATACAGTATTAGTTTAAAAAAAAGCTGTTAAATATCAGTGAAGCATGATCAGAGCGAGGTGAGAGGTACGGCAGGATTGTATGAGAACGAGAAGAAGAAAGACCACTAAATTAACAAATTAATAAAACTGGCTGTTCAAAAGTATAGTAATAAGTATTTGGCTCATGACATAAGTATGAACAACTAATAATTATAATCACTTAGAAAAATATTATATTTGCATGACTAGGTTTGCAATTATCTGCCAATTAGGTATTTAAACTCTATGTTCTTTCATAATGGCCAATTGAGTAGTTAACTTCTTGTTTCTAAGATAGGTATACATTATCTCACAAACATTATTATTACAAGAGAAAGAGGAAGAAGAACAGTAGCATACCTGGAGAGGGTTCTTGGGAGTTGTTCTACTCCCAGGCTCAGCCTGAGGCCAGGCTTCAGAAAGGCAGCTTGAGCTTATCTAATAGCACTAAGGTAGAAGTGAGGTCTGGCTCTTTATGCTCCACCTACTAGCCTTGTTGTGCATTTTTTATTTTATTTTAATAATATTCTTGACATTCAAATAATTTTTCATAATGGGCCTTAACCCTTAAACTGCCCAACACTTCATATGACGTGTTGAGTTACTGATGCGAAAGTGCGAACCCCTCCATATGACGTTTTGGAGTACCACGCAAGATTTAAATGGCCTGCAACTACAAGGGGGTTCACCTCACCTTCCTCAGGGCTCTTGTAAACAGTCTCTATTTTTTTTTAAATCGTGGGTAATATTCCCGGGTGTAAAAGTCCCAGTACTGAATGATCCACCAAGGCTAACACAAGCAGCATGAGCTACAGCACTGCTGTTCAGCTTGTGACCACAGCATCGCCTAAAAATGTTAAAAATATATGTAATTGGTATTTTTATGCCATGCTAGTATTACAGAAGACCCCTGACTGTGATAAAAATGACCAGGATTCTGATAATAGCAGGATTGTTGTGATAATTTATACTGTGCTGTGGGGGAGTAGTGTTGAGGATGGGAGGGCTGTAGCATCCATGCCGATTGTGTGTGGCCATCTGTTCCTGTCTGCACTTACTATATCAGCTTAGTATTTTGCTTTAGTGAACAAAACATGCAGATATTGTACTTATATATAAAGTCTGTATATAGTGAATAAAAGCAAAAAAAAGTATGGTGGGAGGAGAATGTTGGCAAATTAGGTGAGGGAGAGAGTGGGGGCGAGTGGCTGGCTGCCTGGTGTCCCGGCCACTCCTTGCTGTTTTTGACTCGGCATACCAACTTAGTGGTTCGTTATGGTGAACACAATTGTAGATACTTATATATAACGTGTATATATAGTGTAAGACCAGCAAAAGCAGTGTTGGGAGAAGCCATTTTGGTGAGGGAGGTGGTGTCATCTTCCTGACTTGTCATGCTGTGTAAGAGTGACCACTATGCTCTTTGTGCACTATACCAGCTTAGATGCACAGTTATGTGAACAGAACATGTAGATACTTATATATAATGTCTGTATATAGTGAATAAAAGCAAAAACAGTATGGTGGGAGGAGGATGTTGGCAAGTAAGGTGTTTTTGAGGGAGAGAGTGGTGGCGAGTGGCTGGCTGGCAGATGTAGTGGCCAGTCCTCATTGCTTTTTGACTAACTATATCAAATTAGTGGTTCATTATGGTGAACAAAACATGCAGATACTTATATATAACCTGTGTATATAGTGTAATAACCGACAAAGTATTTGTTTATTGATTTATAAACATAATAATTGAATCAATAATATGCACACCATAATTTTGAGTACAGCGATGATTCGCACATTTTATTATATAAATATATTACACTACACACTATTGAATAATATTACTTGAAAAAAACTGAAATAATCAATCAGACACATTGAAATAATTAGGAAATAATATCTTTGTGGCAACTCCCGCCTGACAGCTGGGGCAAAGCAGACTGCCTCTGATGCTTCATCTGTCAACACCTCTTTTTTGCCAGACTTCCCCACCCTATTGTGGCCAAAATATGCCACTTACAATTTTTTTTTTTATTATTTTTCCCATGATCAGGGAACACAAATTAACAGGTTTATAAGATTTTTTTTTATGCCCCTGTGGGTGACAAAGGCCAAATAGCCCAGAGCAGCTTAGGGGTTAAATGAGTTGAAGAAATGGAAGGAAATACTCATACCATGCTTGGCTGGACAACAAATAAAATGCACTCTTAACCCTTAAGCTGCTCTGGCTTATTTGACCCACAGGCGCAACAACAACAAAATTCAAAAAAATATTTTAGCTCATAAAAGTGTTTATTTGTGTTCCCTGATCACGGGGAAAAAAAATCGTAGGTGGCATATTTTGGCCACAAGAGGGCGGGGAAGTCTGGCAAAAAACCAGCGTTGAATGTAATGAATTGCCATTTGCCGAGTGATACCCGGAGGCTCCCTAGAGCTATACCGGGCTGATGTGTATACAGTACAGTATATTAGACCATGGCAACAGTCAGTTGAAGGAATTCTAGGCCTACCGGGGACCAGAGTCAGAATCTGGCCCACTCGTGAAGAGGCACTGGCCTAAAGACACCCCCCATGTAATTGGAAGCAGTCTTTGTCTGCCATGTACCAGGTCAGGCACCCAGAAAGGAAGGAATTCCAAAACAAACTACTGCTGGTCAAAAATTGCAAACCAAAAGTCTAACTAGCAAACAGAACTCTCCAATCAAAAACAAGGAAACAAGTAAGATGTCACCACAGCCGCCGCGCATCCGTCTGCACACCCGGAGGCATCTCTCCTCAGTTCAGAGGTTGAGTATCAAAAATGTGAAAAAAACGCTGACTGGAAGGAGGGAGGGATGCCAGGGAGCCTCTGGGTCTAACCCAGAAAATAATGTTGCATTACATTTAACGCTGGTTTTCTGTGGAGAGCCCCTTTGGCTCCCCGGAGCTACCTAACCAAAGATAAAGAAGAAGAGGGACTTACCCGGGAGGCAGCTGTCACTTGCTCCTCAACTCGAAGTCGAGACAATTGGCTGCAACCTGTGACCCAAGGCTACACACGCCCAAGGGCCAGGAACATTAACGAGGTACCGTGCGGCCAGGACCCTGTTCGACCTCCAAAACCCATGTTGCGTTATTTTACAATATTGTTCTCCAAGATGTTGGACGATTCTCTCCCTTGAGATTCTCACCACGAGCTTGCAGATGTGTGATTTAACAGAGTTTTGGCATTTCTGGCTTTTGCGGGTAGGTAGTTCTGTGTGTTTATAAACACCTGTGGGCGAAAAAGCATCTCCTGTTCTCAGTCATACATAGGGACTTGTTGAGCTTGAAATCGTTGCTCCTAATTGTTTGTGTTACATCTGACCTTTTGAAGAAATTGTCCGGATCAACATCCTCCAAATTGTTCAGTATTTTAAAAGTTTCATTGAGATCCGCCCTATCATGCCTGGTTTGCAGTGTTGTTAGCCCTGTTAGGCTTGTAGAATAAAGCCAGCGTATGCACCCATATGTGGGCTGCATCCTGTCGGTCTGCAGTTGATCTAGGTAGACCTTGATAACCGACAGTACAGGTTTCCTGACCCTGACATCGGGATTTAAATTAATTTTAATTTAATTTTGCCCCGAAAGGCGAGTTTACTGGGCAGCGCAACTCATCCTGAGTGTACATACTGTCATAGCAGCATGTTTCAATAGTAATAAAATGCGCCGAGAGTGAATACCAGCATTATCCTCACTTTAATAAGACTTAATTGAAATCCTCAGATTAGGCAAAATTGTAATTAATTTTGTCAATAAAGATGTTAATAATAGTAAGTTATTCATCCTGTCACTTGTACCCAGACACAGCTGGGACTTGCTTAACTGACTCAAGTGATGAACTTATCAAAACAAGAAAATTAATAATTATAATTATTACAAGGCAATTCGTCATGTACCATTTAACTTGCCTCACCAGGTGCACTTACCATAATACTTCAAAACATTGATATCACTTTCCCCTAAGCACTTTTACTTTGTTGCTTATGCAATTCAAATGTACATAAACAATCTATATAAAGATGTTCTTGAAACAGCGATATTTTGTTGTTGTGTTGATTTAGGGGCGATATTTTTCCTTAGCGAGATGCAGCTTTTGAATGGAGCACCTTGCAACCAAGTTGTTGTGTTATGGCGGTGACCGGTCCCAGCGCCCGATCTCTCCAGCGACGATCTGCCTTGCGACCAGCTCAATGCAACCTGTCCTCAGGCCAGAGGGACGTTAATATGGCTCCTGTCCACCAAGACGTGCTCATGAATTTAACGAATTGTTTATTAACAAAATTTTGTTTACATATATAAATTAATATTATTATATATTAAAGTTCTATGTATAATTTTAAACCGTCCATAGACAAATTCCATTCCATCCAGCGGTCGACCCCAAAAACGCATTGATCAATTTTAACATGCTGTTCATCCACAATAGGAATTTTCTCAAATATAAATTAATATTGTTGTAACGTACAGTTATTTTAGTTGTTGGGTTGATTAGATACACAGTGTTTAGTGAGTTTCATATCAAATCAAATTAAATGTTTATTCAGGTAAAAGTATATACATAGAGGATTTGTTACTAACATAATGTTGGATTTATAGATAGAACTAGTACATACAATACCTAAAGCCACTAGTACGTATGGCGTTTTGGGAAAGGTGTTGGAAAAAAAAGACTTTCTGCGGTTGGAAGAAAATGCTCACTGAGTGGGGGACTTGTTTATTTTATAATAATAATAATAATTAATTATTTAAAACAAATAATTAATTAATAATAGTCATAATTAATGATTTAATAATTGATAAACCTTAATGAAGAAGCCTAGTAGCTCATTATAACTAATAAATAGATGATTAAAGAGGAATTAATTATGGTGACTAATAATGATTAGTGAATGACCATAAATTATTATACAGAAATAAAATTATTGGATAGCCGTTATAATGATTAAATCAAATACAATGAAGAGAGATCTCGTATTCTTGGCTTATCACTTTGGGGGTTCCGACGGAGCACCCACAAGGTAACACATTCATTGCAAGATGGAACAAGTGTCCCCAGCAAACTGCTTTAACGTCATCCCTTGGAGAGTAAAACCGGGGATGGCAGGGATACCCGGGAGGAGGGTGGGCGTTTTGTAGTGTAACAGGCGAGGCGGAGGCGAGCAAGCGGGCCCAGAATCCGCGTCTCGCATTTAAGTACCCTGCTCGGTGCGCGCGCGCGCTACTTAGTCGGTTAGTCTCCAACTCATGGTAATACATTTTCTTCTTCGCAGAATTTCACCGCTTTTGCTGAGAAAATCAGTGATTATTTCTGGCCCTTGGCCTAAAACGTAATAGTAATTGAGCTTAAAGTATAAATTGCGTTGAAACAAAAAAAATAAAAGATAAAAAAAGGGGGGAACATGGTAGAAAATAGCCAATATACAAGTTGGTCAACAAACAGCATTGTTTAAAAATAGTAAGACATGGGCTGACAGTTAGGGGTAAGAGGTACGTTACATTTAGTTAATTAGGTAGTACTTAGTTTTCATCTTATGATGATGGTAATAATAATAATAATAATAATAATAATAATAATAATAATAATAATAATTTAGGAACAGTACATACATAGTTGCAGAGTTACAGTACAAACATTCTGTTTGATTTAAAGATAAATATCTCAAACCAATTCTATTTGCTGACGACACAACATTCATTTACTCCAGTCCTGATCTGACCCCCTTGCTCTGAATGTCACAGTGAATACTGAGCTAAATAAAGTCCATCACTGGCTAACTGCCAACAAACTCACCCTCAATATTGACTAAACTTTCTATATTTTGTTTGGCAATAAATCCTCAAATCAAATAAATCTCCGGATTAACAATACCCAAATTTGTAACTGTAGCGAGTTAATCTTATACTCGCTCTGTAGCCAGTTAATCTTATACTCGCTCCATTATCTCATTATCTTAATAGCATAACTAATTACAGAAGCTACAATCCTTTCCCCAATTACAGGTAATACTCTTCTCACCTTGTTGGAGGAAGCTGAGGTGTAATCACCATATAAGCAACGATTTGATGAATAGAAGACAGTTCAATTTCCACAGTCAACAATGTAGCACTCGGCGTGTACAGTCCTAATCGACCCAAGACGCTACAGCTTCGACACAGAGCAGACAGCAGACTACGACTGCATCGAGCCGCCATGCTCTCGCTCCCCGAGTTCAGACACTCACAATTCTCAATCGAGCCGCCACGCTCTCCCACATAGAGCTCCACGACTCCGGCCTCACTCAGCTCTCTGCTCTGCACCAGGCTTCGCCTCAACGTCTACGACACTACTGTATCCAGGACTACTAAATAAATATGAAACTCACTAAACACTGTGTATATAATCAACCCAACAACATAACATAAACGTACGTTACATAACAAAGTAGATGGCAAATTCCTTAGCATTCTCATTGACCACAAGCTGAATTTCCAGGGACACATTCTAAATATATAAAAAAAAAGTTTCAAAAACTGTTGGCATTCTTTCTATGATCAGATATTATGTACCCCGCCCTGCCCTGGTGACGCTCTATTACTCCCTCATCTATCCATATCTCAACTATGGTATTTATGCTTGGGGTTCTACTACTCAAAATCATTTACGTCCTCTAATTATTCAATACAAAGCTGCTATTAGGATAATATCTAACTCTGGCCCCAGACATCACTCGGTACCCTTATTCAAATAAATAAATAAATAAATAAATGTTTATTCAGGTAGGTACATACATACAAGAGATTTTACAAAAAATGAAAGATTTATAGATAGAGCTAGTACATACAATGCCTGAAGCCACTATTACGCAAAGTGTTTCGGGCAGGAAAAACATTAATAACTAAAGCTTAATACTAATTGAGTATAAAGAATAAAATGTGTTGAGAACAAATAAAAATAGAGATAAAAAAGGGGGGGAACATGGCTGAAAAAGCAGCACAAATACAATTAGGTCGACAAACAGCGTTGATAAAAAACAAAAAACAGACATGGGTTGACAATAAAGGGGTAAGGTATAGGTTACAGGGAATTTATTAGGTAGTGCTTCGTTTTTATCTTAAACTGGCTGAGAGAGGTACAGTCTTTAACATGGTTGGGAAGGTCATTCCACATTCTGGGTCCCTTGATTTGTAGAGCATTTCTAGTTTGATTAAGTCGTACTCTTGGAATATCAAAACGGTATTTGTTTCTGGTGTGGTGCTCATGGGTTCTGTTACAACCTTCAACGAAGCTTTTGAGGTCAGGATTGGCATTACAGTTCAGCGTTTTATAATTGATTTGACGCAGGCGGTAGAGGAGTTGCTGTCTTTTTCTAGTCAAGCATTTTTTTTTTTTTTTTTTTTTTTTTTTTTTTTTTTTTTTTTTTTTTGAGATATATACAAGAGTTGTTACATTCTTGTACAGCCACTAGTACGCGTAGCGTTTCGGGCAAGTCCTTAATCCTATGGTCCCTGGAATACGATCCCCCGCCGCGAAGAATCGTTTCAGAACATGTAAATATATAAAGTTCACATAAAGTAAGTAATTATATAAAGTTTATATTAAACACGGTTTATATTATAGACTTAACAAAGTTGATATTATATAAAACTTAATATTGAACATGTAAATATACAAAGTTTCAAATATAATTTAAGGAATATATAACGTTTATATTAAAATATATAAAGTAAATATATAAAGTAAGAATTAACAGTAACAATTCCAAGGACTAGATTTAACTTAAAAGGTACACCCGTAGTAAGTATGAGACCTTAGCCTATAGTGACATGGAAACTAATTCTGCAGAAACCTAAAGGTTAACTGGTACTAGAATTAAGGCCGAGTGCAAATGTGTAGTAATTATATAACACTAGGATATAACAGGCAGGACACAAAGAATAACTAATAAGTGAGAGACCACATAACACGTAATGTACCCGGCCAAGAGGCCGTAAAAGACCTAATGGATAAGGAGAAGGGGGTGTGACTACAAGTAGGGCTTACTAGCACCGAGACTGGGCAAAGTCTTAGCTGCGGACAGCGGGACACTTGGGGACCGGCGCTGCACCCCCTTCCCACATGCAGTGGGGAGACAATCGGGACAACTGTGCAAAGCATGACGGGGGTACAAATTTTTCATCCAAGTACACATTTTACTGTTGCGTTAAACAGAGGCTACAGTTAAGGAATTGCGCCCAGTAAATCCTCCCCGGCCAGGATACGAACCCATGACATAGCGCTCGCGGAACGCCAGGCGAGTGTCTTACCACTACACCACGGAGACTGTAAAATCATTCGATCGGTTATTGTGGCAGCGGGTCTCAGATATTCCTGAGAAGCTTGCCCAACCGTCCTTAAGATGGCAGAACGGGTCAAGAAATTAGGCAATGTCTTCAATACGGGAAAAGATCTATTGGGCGATATGCCCAAAAGTTCGGGCGGGAAGGTCGGCCATCTTGGCGCGCGGATTGAACGCTCCTGGCTGGACTTTCTTTCCACACCTTACCTGGAACTCATCTCTAATTCAGCTGGCTTCTTTGGGCCAGTGTGTGCTCACTGCAGCTACCCAGGGGCTCACAGGACCGGGGGAGGCCGGAGCCTCCCTAATGGACGCCTCCCCGAGCGGGGGCGCCATGGATGTTGACAGCAAGTCCCAGAGAGGAAAACGTCTGCTAGAAGATGAGTCGGCTGATGCTGCCCCAGAGCGAGATGCTAAGAGGATATCCTCCCCTTCAGAAGACCTTAGTCTTGTGGTACCCCGTTCCTCGTTTGTGGTAGTCCTAATCCAGTCAGAATCAGGTCAGTGCGTCTTTGCAAATCCTCGTACCTTAGGTGCAGCAATCGAGGCTTCCACATTGTGGCCACATTGCCTGCCTGAGACCATACGTACCCTGGGTAGGGGTGCAGCACTGAAGCTACATATCAGAAAGGAGGCTCTATCACACATCTGTGTATCCGACATTAATAAGTTGGGGGACTGGCCTGTCAGGTGCCGACAGGTATTGTCGCAGGAGGAGGAGTCTCGGGCCCGGTATGGGAAGATTGGCCCAATTGACCAGAGTGTAGATGTGGATGACATCCAGGCCGCTCTGCAGGTATTAGGGGGTGCATCAGTGAGATTATTGGAAGTTACCAGGATTCGCGGAGCAGCAGGGCCGACATCCATGGTCCGTGTAAAGTTCGA